CCTTTGCTGGTTTGCACATTCAGTTTTAAGTTTTGCATAGGCAAATGTGTTGATTTTTGAATTATTTTGTGTTGATATTTTGAATTGCTTTTATTCCTTAATTGTGCTTGATTCTATTTCCTGGTTACTTCTCTATTTTTTCCACTTATTTTAATCTTAATCCATGGAGGGGGGGTGTTACTTTACTTTATGGTATAAATTATAGAATAAATGCCTTTTTCTTCATCTTGTTATCCAGATACCACAAGACTATTTACTAGACAATTCTTGCTTACTTACTGGGCTACCAATTTCCTTAGATGCTAAATTCTTAGATACCCTTAGATCTATATCTGGACTTCTATTTGTTGCCCTGCTGCCGATTTCTCTTTTGGACCCTGTGTCTCTATAGATTAATTGTGCTCCAACCTATTTCCACATCTGCTGAGTCTAGATAGGCCAAGTTTCCTCACTCATTTGCATCTCTTTCTTATGGTACCTACTGACGTTTACCCAGGACTTTTAGAATCATGTTGCTAAAGTCTATAAAAATTCATGATGGGATTTTTCTCAGTTTATAGACGAGGAAACTGAGGCCAAAGAGGTGAGGTGACTCTCCCAGGAAGTAGGTCCTGATGCTTAGAATGGAAACCAGGTTTCCTTGCTCTGGGAGCGCTCGCTTTCTCTGCTGCATCACAGCAGGAAGGAGCCTCGTCAGCCTGCCCTGTCTCCCTGATGCCTCTCTGGACATGGATCCTATGCTCTCTACTAAGTAGATTTCTCATCAGTAGTTTTAAGCAAGGGAACAAGCTAAAGGCACAGGACAATCCCAGTTAGTATGGGGAAAGGAAGGATGAGAGCAGATGAACTAAGGGGCGTGAAGGACTTTTGCAAACGCTCAAGTGTGCAACAGCATGCGTGCCAACAGCAGCACTGAATCTCCTCTCTTCCCCAGGGCCCCTGGGACCAGCACTGTCATTCCTGTGGCACGTGGACTCCTGAGTCAGAGCCTGGTCTTCATTGCTCTGTTTGCTGTCATGCAGAGGTCATTTGCATCCTAGGCGCTGGAACCCACGAGAATGAACTCTGAACTCCATCCACGTCCTTCTGGCAGTTGTGTCCAAAGAGGAGTGTGAGGGGCAGCGGATGGGGTAGGCGGTCAATGACATGAATTGAAGCTGTAGCACAGGTACTTTCTAAGGCTCAGGATCCCACCTTCTTGGCCCCGCTAACTCCCCTCACTTCACTGATAACCTTGGGTGTGTGCTTTGCCCCCTCACAAAAGAAGCTACTGCCCCAAACGTGCCATTCCACCAGCAGCTCAGGGTGTGCATTAAATACACTGTCCAGTGCTTTTCACTGTCAATGTCTTATGGGGGTCGTGAGGCACAGGGGGCACAGCTGCTCACTTTGCCCTGGTCCTTGCCCTGGACCACAACATTTTGGCCTGAATTGGACAGAATTCCCACTAGAGAGCATCCTGTTCGCCCGACTGCCAGGGCCGTCGTCTCCTCTACAATCAGATGTTTACGTTTCTCCCCTTAATTTATGGCCCTTTCCAACACTCCCAGAAAAGACTGTTGAAAACCACGGAACGAAGAGAAGATGAGATCCACGGTGAGGATTCCACATTTGGGAGGATGAGCTGGGATCCAGGGCACAGGACGGAAAGGAGGATATCATCATTTGACTACTGCGTGCGTTTATTGTGTGCATCATCAGGGATGCACTTTGCCACTGGATCCTCAGAACAGCCCCATGAAGGCAGAGAAGTACGTGGCTGGAAGGAGACCACGTGAGAAGTAAATCTCCTCTTACTGGCAGGAACAAAAACTAGAGCTCCTTTACTGAAGACCACGCACCTAAAAGCCATGTAGAATGGAATAACCGGGAGCCTGCTCTATCTAAATGCTTCTTCCTTGTACCACACGAGGGGCAGGGATGGTGGGTGACCAGCTCTCACCAGTTAGGCTCCTGAAGGCTGTCCCCCATGTGCACTTTCCCCCTCCTCTCTCTCTGTTCCTTTAACTCCCCTTTCACTCCCAAGCTCTTCCATAAAATAGGCATCCAGGGCCACCAACAGATTTAAATCACTAGTTTCTGATTTTCTACTTCTTCTGACTCTAAAGGGGAAGGGGTCTCATTAGTGGGGAAGAGATGATAGGTCCTTCCATTCCCATTCAGGAACAGCCAAGGCCAATGTCATCCTAAATTCCCCAAGAGAAAACACACTCTATCACCCACAATCCACCTCGTGTTAGGAAAACACATCCTTACCATCAGGTTGCCCTTCCCCTACTCCTGTGAGCTAAGGTACAGTCTTCCCCTCCCTGGCCCCACTGCCGTCATATGAGGACCTCCTCACCAACCTGGGGCCTGAACCCTCCAAGAGGATGGCACTGACCCCATACAGATTATCTCTGATCATCCAGCTGAGTCCATTAGAAGGTGATGAAGGGAATTCATGTCATCCTGGTGCCGTGGTGAGAGTCTTCTGAGAGGCACTGGATCCAGAAGCTGTTCTGCTCAGCACATCTATTGATATTTTCCTGGCCAAGAGAACCCAGCCACACGGAGGCTGTAAGTGCATGGCATGCAGTGTTTGCTTTCTCAGGTGGCTTGTTTGGGACCTGCATTTCAGCAGTTTCAATGTTTCCTCTGTTTGTGAAGTTGACAAAAAAGGCTAGGGCAAGGGAGGAACCACCGTTAAATGCTCTCTAGGAGAGGCAGCGCACTTTAGGGCAGTCTCTTTCAAACTGTAGTCCTTAGGCCACCCGCATCAGATACTCCTGGAGCATTTGTTTAAAATGCAGATGCCTGGGGTCCCCCCCCGCCAGACACCCACTGAATCATAGCATGGGCTGTCTCTTGGTGGTTCTCAAGCTTGTTTGGGAGATAGGGTTCTAAGGAGTCATCGTGCTCCTTTCCAAACACCACGACACATTTATATATTCATCCTGAGTTAACCAACTGCATGATTTGTGTGCTTGTGTGATTAATTTAATTATAGATGAAATAATACTTCAGTTCAATATATTAAACTCGCCTGAGGAATTACACACACTAAATTGGAAGGCAAATGGTTGTACTGGACGCTCTCCCACTTGCACCATCAGGCCCACTCTCCATCCTTTTCCTCCCTCGTCTGTTCCTGGGAACTGACCAGGCTCCCTTTCCCACCAGCTTCTGGCTGGGTTTGGCCAGTAGGCAGCAAGAAAGAAGGGCAGGGGATGGAAAGAGAATGAGGTCAGAGTTTTTATCCTCTGGGTTCCTTCTCCGTGGAGAGGCACGAGGGGCCCTCAAGGCCCCTTCAAGCCTTGCATCAAACAGCTGTTATCTTCAAGTTTGGGCAACTGCTCCAGTCCTTTGATTTTAGGCCACGGCAAGTAGTCACTCACTACTGCTCCAGCCCCAGGGTACTGCAGCCTCCCTTAGTGGTTTCCCCGAATTCTACCCACACTTTCATTAAACACTTCTCAGTCACCTGTTTCAGCGAGCCACCTCTTTCTTGCTGGGACCTTGACCTACACAACAGTGTTATGTGGTTAATTACACAGGCCTGGAATTAAACAGGACCCAGGTTTGAATCTCAGCTCTGTCACGTCCTTGATGAATGTCTGATCTTGAGTAACTCAGTTAATCTTGCTAGGCCTCAGCCTGAAGATATTCCTCACTGCCTCAAAGGGCATAATAACCAGGGCTTCCCTGGTGGCGTGGTGGTTGAGAGTCTGCCTGCCGATGCAGGGGACATGGGTTCGTGCCCCGGTCCGGGAAGATCCCACATGCCGCGGAGCGGCTGGGCCCGTGAGCCATGGCCGCTGAGCCTGCATGTCCGGAGCCTGTGCTCCGCAACGAGAGGCCACAGCAGTGAGAGGCCCGTGTACCGCAAAAAAAAAAAAAAAAGGGCATAATAACCAATACGAGTCATGATTCTTGATGCTACCAACTGAATCCAATCCTGGCTAGCAAAGGAATTTAGAAAGATATTGGTAGCTCACAGAGTCGATGAGAAGGCTGAAGGACCCGTTTTAGAAAATGGCAGAAACCAAGTTATAACTTGAGACAGTCCAGTGGTGTTGCCGTTGTCACTGCCCCTGTACACTTGAAGCCACCAAGTACTTGCCACCATACTATTCCTGGACTCTCAGTGCTTCAAGTGCCTCTAAGTCACTTACAACTGGCCCTGCATCTTGTATCGCACCCCTAGGATCCAGAATCCTGGGCAGAATCATGCATTTGCCCATACTTAGGTCAAGTCACATGTCTGTACCATAGGTGCCAGGTAGAAGGGGCAGAAGAAGTATCTGCCTCCATGCTCAAGGGAAGGGGGCCTCGTGAGACCCACACACTGGGGCATATCCCCCAAACGGGAAAGCTATTGGGTGCTGGAGAGCCAAAAGATGACAAGTATTCATTACACAATCCCAAAGCTGACAGAATTAAACGAGATAACCTGCGTAAAGCACCTGGCACACAGTAGAACTTCAATCCATGGAGGTCACTCCTAGTGCTGTTATAATTGTGGTCTCCAAGCTCATGCCTAGACTAGGAGCTCAGGGAAGCACACACCTCAGACATAGGGAGAGCACCTGAGGAATGCTTTGGGGCCCACCTGACTCATACACAGCCTTTACAGGTATCCTCTGTTTGAACCACTTGCTTCAGAATCACCTGGGCTGCTTGTTGAAGTGCAGGCTCCTGGGCCCTCTCCAGACTTACCAGATCAGTATGTCTGGGGTGGAGCCCAGGCACGTGTATGTTTGCTAAGCTCCCCGAGTGATTCAGCCACACGCCCATCCTTGAGAACTGTGGTGTGGCATAACATGAAAGATGGCGGGTCATCAGGAAGGCTTGACTCGGGCCTCAAAAGGCAAGTCAAATCTGGATGCACAGTGTCAGGCAGGCAGGGATAATGGTGGGAGGGGTTGTGGAATGTAGCGGTCAGTGGTCAATGATGAGAATGTCTTGGTGGCCTGAGGAAGTGAGTGGAGCAGGGGTGGGACATCAGATGGGTGGGTCTAGACTTGCTCCGGTGGAGAATGGGGAGCTACTGAGTGTTGCCCAATTGGGCTGCGACAAAATGAAAGCAGGAAGGAAGATGTCACAAGGGCAGTGATCTCTCTTTTCTCCTTCTTCTTCTGCATTTTCCTGAGCTGCCCCCTCTCATCACATTTTCCTCAGGGTTTCTCAACTGCAAACTGACAACCAAGCCTCTCGGGGAAGATGGAAAACACCCAAGTGGGGCAACATCCTCCAGTAAATGGAAAAGGCACTGAAGCGACTGGCACACAGTGGGTCCAGGGAGCAGGATGGAGTGAGGGGAAGGGCTCTGGGGGTGGCCGGGGCTACCGCTGCTGCTCTAGGTCTCAGGTAAGGAGAGGCAGGGAGAGGGATGTAGATGGCCAAGGGGAGGTACCTACTAAGAGGGGTTTTCTCTCATTTCTTAAGGAGGGACTGGAATGAGATCAGGGTATGTACATGTTAGAGACAGGAAAGCAAGAAAGGAAGGTCATGAATGCGGACTGTGCTGGTTGACTCCGTCCCATCAGGGATTGGATGATGAAATAGAAGGTAGAGGTTCTTCTAGAGCATCTTGAGGTTGAGAAAATTATGTGAAGTCAAACAAACAATCTCTCATCGCTGTGCTGATATCCTGGGAGATGTCAAGAAGTGTAAGGCAGTCTCCCCCTAAAGGAATCAGGCGCTAAGGCATAGGAGCCTTAATAGAGGAAAAGGCAAATGACGACAAAAGGGTCAAGCAGCAACATGAAGGCAAAACTACGGTGGAAGTCACTCTAGCAAGCCACAGAGAGGGGATGTGGAAAGAAGGTGAGGGCAGACAGAGCTGGGTTCAAATCCTATCTCTGCCATTTTCTACCTATGTGACCTTAGGAAGTCCTCTCTCCTCTTTGAACTTCATTTTCGTCATTTGTAAAGAGTACCTACTCAGAAATATTCATTTGTAAATGGTACCTACTTCAGAGGGTGTCCTGAGAGTTTAAAAGCAGACTGATGGAAACTACTGGCTCAGGATTTACAGCACAGTCGGTGCCCAGTAAAAGTTATAGTGGATGGTGATGATGTACCCAGGTGTAGGGTGATCAGTGGTATTGAGGGTTGAGAGGAGAAAGGGATTAGTGCCAGCGGACCTGTTCAGGTAGACTCCCCGTGCTTTTCTTCTGTCTGTATCTGAATATGGTATTTAAGCCAGAGTTCTAAACTTCCTTGGGGAGCTCCTCATTTTACCCTGGGTATTTCCCACATATACATGAGGTATACACGTTTAAAAGCTTGTTTGCTTTTCTCTTATTAATCTTCTTTTATTACAGGGATCTCAGCTGAGAACTCGGAGGGTAGAGGGAAAATGATTTTTCCTCCCCTACATCTGTCAACCTCTAGCTTCCTTCCTCCACTGAGGTCTCTCCAACTTCAGGCAGCCTTTTTGGACCAGATCTATGAAACCTATGCTGGTGGTTTCACATATGTGCAGCCCACATCTGGTCCACGGGACGTACCCATTTCATTCACCCCAGCAAACTCGTGGAGCCCTGGTGGATCCCCATACAGCCATCTTTTCTTCACTCTACCGTGGGGACAGCTAGTCATTGGCAGTCTCTGCCCATTGTAGTTCTCAGGTTTGAGTCAGACTCCAGTCTGCTGTGTCTCCCAAACTCCAGGGGACGCTTAACAAGCTCTCCAAGTTGTGACCCTGAAGCTCCTCTCCCTAAGCTTGTGGTAAGGGGCAGGTGTCCACTCCCTTCTGCACCCAGGGTCACAGGACACCAAAACTGTCTCCAAAAATCCCTCCTAATCTTCAAAATCCCCACAACTTTATATCCTTGATATGGGTAAGGTTTAGATACCTTTTTGCGTGTGTTACACTGGTCTCCCAGCTCACTCTGGAATGGGGCATCTATTTCCTTGGGACTTGCATTAGTCAAGGTTCAGCTGCAGACAACAAAATCCAATGTACCTATGTTAAGTAGAAAGGGATCCTTTTTTTTTTTTTTTTTTTTTTTAAGGGATCCTTTTAAAATAGAATATTAAATGGTTTACGGAATCAGATCCTACTCTGAGCTTCTGGGAATGACTGTCAAAGCCACACTACAGGGTGGGGAGATTAAGGGGCCACTGCTCTTCCCACAGTCAGGACTCTGAAGAATCAGCAAACTTTGCAAATCAGGAAGCTACTGGCATAGTTTCTCCAGACCCACCCCATGTCGGCCACACTCTATACCACCAAAGTGGATGCCTTTTTCCCTACTTAACTCAGTTCCAAATTTGTTTCATACAAATGCCTTTGACTGGTAAAGCCTAAATTATCTCTGGAGCCCTAGCTGCCAAAAACCTGAGAAATGATTGAGCAGACCTTTCATAATAAAGAGGCCCACGAGAAGGAGGTGGGAATGGAATTTCATTCCACAGCATCTGCCCAAACAAGCTCAGCGAAAACTGAGATGAAAATAGTTCAAATTTTAAAGATTTTCTTCCTTGCTGTCAGTGAAAGACAAATTGAGTGGAAAACAAACACCCACTCTTTGTTGTGTTATGGCAAATACATTCTTTTATCTATTATAGAGTTATGTTATAACAGCAAGTTCCTATTCACCAAAAATAATATTTTGGATATTATTATATGCTATATATCACCCTCAAGCCATAAAAAGATACAGACCCAGAGAACAAATTCCAAAATTTATGGTACTTTTCTTGGAAACTTCAGTGTGTTCTAAAAAATGAATCCTATTTCCCATCCATCTACTTTATTCTATTCCTGGGATACTGACATGATCACTCATTGTGCAGTGACATTTGGAAAATTCACCTTCCACGGCAGTCACGAAAGTAAAAATAGTTCCACTTTAGCATCCTGTAAATTGAGAGTTTTCAGAACTTCATAAAATCAGAAACGAGTACTTTAGGAACCAAGTGCAGGTCTTTTGGGGTAGGGGTTGCTGTTTCTACCAATTGGGGCTATTATATTGGGATCCTTCCTCAATCTTAATCCAGCCCCGTCTTTGAAAGACTTGCCTTGAACCGAACTTCCCAGTACATTCGGACCTTGCCTTATCTAAGTCGCTCTCAGAGCTGTGTTGAGGCTGAGTTCTCCTTGACCTCCAATAAGCTCAGCTTTCTCTTATTAACACGTTGTGCTGGGGATATTTGAGAAGCCAGCACTGGACAATGTAATTAAATCCATCCATTTCCCCCTTATGACTTATGCTTTGGGATATTATTTAAGATGTCCTTCCCAATCTGAAGCACAATCATATTCTGAATATTGTCTTTTAGACAATGTATGAAGATATTCTCACACATTATCTTCTATTAGCTTTACAGTTTTGACACAAACAGGACACAACAAAGAAATCTGCCCCTTAGGATGGTGGCAGGGTCTTGTTAAAGTCCACCTCCGTCATTTAGAGCTGTGCTAGTACTCTAGCCATTAACCTCATGTGCCTGTTTGCATTTAAGTTAATTAAAATTCAACGAAAAATAAGAAATCAGCTCCTCAGTTGCACTTGCCTCATGTCAGAGCTGAACAACCACACGTGGCGAGCGGCTACTGTGCTGGATGGGCAGGTACAGAACACCTCCATTATTGCAGGAAATTGTGTCAGACAGCACTGCTTTCTGTATTTCTGTTTCAACATAACTGGCCGGCTAACAAAGCTTTCAGTTCCTTGTTATAAATTTAGTGTCTTACTAATACAGATGAAAACTTTTTATAGCACACTGTACTTTCACACCTGGGTAGTTTGCTTTCGCATTTCCATTTAACTAAAGCAGATTTTCCTCTTAGAGAATCACACTTCTGATTTTGTACTTTCCATTCTCGGAGAAAGGGTTTATATTATTTTGGTGCTTCAGTCCTTTTGCCCTATTCCCCCCAAGTCTCCTCCAAAGCCTTCTTGCCCTCGCACAAAGCAAGTGCAAATGCGGCCCATTTGGATGGATGAGGGGGATACACTGCCGGAAGCCAGGGTGCATGGGGGCTGCTCGGCAGTGGGCAAAGCGCTGGGGGGCCGGGTGTTGGAGGACAGGGTCCAAATGACCAGCTCGGCTTTGATATCTGTCTGTGAAGTCTGTGAAACGTGGGCAAGTCACTGGCCTGCTCTTCAGCTCAGCCTCCAAAAGAAAAAAGGCTGGAGACCCGCTCTGGGGTCCCCTCTGCACGCGATCAAGGCACATGCGTGAACAGCGATGCAGAGTTGAGCAAAGCAGGGCTCACGCGGTTAAGTTAAGCCCCCTTGGCCCTCGGGGGACTCGCAGGCTGTCTAGAGAGGATGGAAGAATGTCCACAACAGGGTGGTGACAGAACACAGCACAGAATCAGGGCCAGAGTGTAGCCAGACTCTACGTGCTCAGGGCAGGGTCAGATGGTGGCTGCAGGCTGGAGTCCTCTGCACCAGCTTCTTGCAAGAGGGCCCCCTTGTGGCCCAACACAAGTGAGGCTAGTTGGGGAGTAGCCCTCAGAGGCATTCCAGGGGCTGGAGAAGGGGACAAGCTCCAGCAGCCTGAGGCACGACCAGCATGGAGTGGTACCATAAGGGGACTGGACACCCCGGGGGCTAGAGACAGGGTGGGCACAGATAATGGGGTCTTAACGCAGACCCAGGCCTCTAACTGAGCAGTGAAGTCCAGTTAATGTAGGGGAGCTGAGCTCTCTCGTGAGCTCAGTAAGCAAGACACACAGTCAGGGACAAGTAGCTGTAGACCCCTCCCCAATTTGTCCCCTCTTCTCTGGGCTGCCTAGTGACCACTTGGCCTCCAGGTCTCTTCGTTACTTTCCTCAGAAACTCCAGCTTCCCAACTCCTCTCTCCTGTTGTCACCCTTCTCCCTGGGGCTCCTGGAGGCCCAGCTCCGCAGCAGGACCAGGGCAGGGAGACTTCTGCTCATTTTAGGGAGCTGAGATAATTACGTTACCTGAACAGGACACTGGGAATACCAAACACACCCAGGGAGAGCTGTGTTATAACCAATTGGGAAAAACAGTGAATTCAACACCCACTGGAATGTATGCCTGACCGGTGTGCAGTGCAGCAAACCCACCTCAGGTAAACTAGTCACTTAAAATGACCCTACTCGGTGTTCTTTAAGCCTAATCAAACTAAGTGTTTTAAAAACGTTTTCTTTGTTAGTTATCAAGTACTTATAAATATTTTGTGCAAATAGTCTCTCTCCCTTTTTAAGTGAAATTTTTTGTTTTAGAGTAGTTTTAGGGTTCAGAAAAATGAGGATATTACACAGAGTTCCCATATATCCCACACCCAGTTTCCCTTATTGCTAATATCTTACATTAATATGGTACATTTGTCATAATTACTGAACCAATAATGATATATTATTATTGACTAAAGTTCGTACTTCATTCATTATTTCCTTAGCTTTTACCTAATGTCCTTTTTCTGCTCCAGGGTCCCACCCAGGACACCTCATCACATTGAGTCCGCAAGTCTCCTTAGATTCTTCTTGGCTGGGACCATTTCTTAAAATTTCCTTATTTTTGATGGTTTTGACAGTTTTGAGGAGTACTGGCCAGGTATTTCATAAAGTCTTTCATTTGAGAGTTGTTTGATGTTTTTTCTCATGGGGTTAGGGGTTTGGGGGAGGAAGACTGCAGGGGTAAAATGCTGTTCTCATCACATCTGATCAAGGGTTCATGCTATCAATGTGATTATCACTCTTGATCTTAACCTTGATCACCAGGCTGAGGTGGTGACCGTCAGTCTCGTCTACCATAAAGTTACTCTTCCCCCCTTCTCCATGCTGTCCTCTTTGGACACTACGGATGGCCCACACTTAGGGGGTGGGGAGTTTTGCTTTCCCTCCTTGAGGGCAGAGTATCTACATAAATTATTTGGAATTCTTCTGCATGGGAGATTTGTCTGTTCTCCCCCATTTATTTATTTATTCAATCATTTCCTAGGAACCATCTTTACAGTTCCTTGAATTAAAACCTTGCCCCCCCCCAAACCTCCCAGGGTGGAAACACATCATTGACCTCCCCCATGCCTGGAACTCAGGACCCAGCTCAGGCCACCAAGGGCCCCCTGACCACTCACAGGCAGAACACAAAGTGAAAGAAAAGAGGAACAGCCTCTTACTTCACCACGGTTTCATTTTGGGCATCCTCAGGCTCCCCCAGCAACAGTGAAGGAGTGTGACGGGGTAGAAGGTGTGAGCTGTGGAGATGGGGAGGAGTTGGGCCACAGGGAGCAAGTGAGGGTTTTTTCTTTTTTTAAATTTTTTGGTCACGCCACGTGGCATGTGAGATCTTGGCTCCCCGACCAGGGATTGAACCTGCACTCCCTGCATTGGAAGCATGGAGTCTTAACCTCTGGACCCCCAGGGAGGGCCCAGCTTTTTGCTTCAAAAGCATATTTTTTTTGAAGTATAGTTGATTTACAATGTTGTGTTAGTTTCAGGTATACAGCAAAGTTATTTATATATGCTGGATTCAAGTTCTTTCTCCCAGTCCATAGCTTGCCTTTTTGTTTCCTTAAATAGGTGTTTGATGGGCAAAATTTTAATTTCTCATTAAGTCTAGCTAATCAAAATTTGAAATTTTGTGCTTAGTGTTTTTTGTGTCCTACTAGAAAACATTTGACTAGCCCAAAATCATGAAGATACTCTCTAATGTGAGGCTTTTTTCTTTTTTTAAATTTTTTAAAAGAGGAACAGCCTCTTATTTTCCTCTACAATGACATTCTAGAAGCTTTATCGTTTTAGTCTTTACATTTAGGTTTATGGTCCATTTTAAACTAATTTTCATATATGAGGCAAGACTTGAGGTTCACTTTTGTCCTTGATCCAGTTGTTTAAGCATCAATTTTTTAAAAAGACTTTTTTTCTTATTTAATTACCTTTAGCAAACATTGATTTACTGTATATGTGGGCCTATTTCTGGATCCTCTATTTTATTCTATTGATCTATTTGTCCTTACACGAATACCACGCTGTCTTGATTACTGTAGCAAATATTTACATCAGATAATGTAAGTATTTCAACCTGTTTTTCTTTTTCAAGATTGTTTTGGCTATTCCATAACCTTTGCATCTCTGTATAAATTTTAGGATCATATTGTTAATTTCAACAAATAAAATGTCTATTGACTGATGAGTGGATAAACAAAATGTATATCCATACAATGGAATATTATTCAGCTATTTAAAGGAGTGAAGTACTGATATAACGTTGCAGAAAGTACTGCTACAACATGGCCAAATCTCAAAAACACTACCCTAAAGGAGCCGATCACAAAGCACCAATACTGTATGATTTCGTTTTCTTGAATTGTCCAGAAGAGGCAAATCTATAAAGATAGAAAGTAGTGGTCACCTGGGGCTGCAGTGTGGGGAGAGGCAGGAAAAGGGAGAGTGATAAGCTGCAAAGTGGCCTCCCCAAGGACATCCACATCCTAATCCCCAGAACCTGTGAATGTTACCTCATATGGCAAACCAAGGGGCTTTGCAGATGTGGTAAGTTAGGGATTTTGAGGTGGGGAGATTATCCTGGATTATGTGGCTGGCACTAAGTGCATTCACATGTATCCTTATAACAGGAGACAGAGGGAGGTCTGAACACACACAGAAGAGAAGGTGATGCGGAGATGGAACAGAGAGATTTGAAGATGCTGGCTTTGAAGACTGGAGTGATACAGTCACAAGCCAAAGAACGTTGGCACCCACTGGAAGCTGGAGGAAGCAAGGGCTAGATTCTTCCCTAGAGTCTCTGAAGGGATCACAGCCTTGCCAATACCTTGATCCTGGATCAGTGATACTGACTTCAGACTTCTGGCCTCCAGAACTGTGAGAGAATACATTTCTATTGTCTTAAGCCACCACATTTGCAGTAATAGGAAACAAATGCAGGATGTGACTGCTAACGGGCATGGGGCTTCATTTTGGGGTGACGAAATGTTCTAAAACTGGACTGTGGTGGCGAAATGTTCTAAAACTGGACTGTGATACACTGAAGTGTATACTTTAAATGGGTCAATTTTATATTATGTGAATTATATCTCAATAAGGCTGATATACGATGTTTGTGGGGACTCCCCTGGTGGTGCAGGGGTTAAGAATTCACCTGCCAATTCAGGGGACACGGGTTCGGTCTCTGGTCCGATAAGATCCCACATGCCGCAGAGCAACTAAGCCTGTGTGCCACAACTACTGAGCCTGCGCTCTAGAGTCCGTGAGCCACAACTACTGAGGCTGTGTGCCATAACTGCTGAAGCCCATGCGCCTAGAGCCTGTGCTCTACAAGAGAAGCCACCGCAATGAGAAGCCCATGCGCCGCAACTAGAGAAAGCCTGCACGCAGCAACGGAGACCCAATGCAGCCAAAAATAAATAAATAAATAAAATAAATAAATTTATTTAAAAAAGACATATTAGACTAAAGAGCCCTCAAACTCATTAAGAAGAAAACAAACAAATAAAAATGAAAAAAATCTGAAGAGACCCATCTCAAAGAAGATATGTTGATGGCAAATAGACACAATAAAATATACTCAGTATCGTTAGTTATTGGAGAAATGCAAAATAAAATCACAATGAATACTACTGCACACTATTAGAATGGGAGAAAAAATACCTGGCAACAATAAAATGCTACGAAGGATAGGGAGCAACAGGAACATCAATGCAAATGCAAAACGGTGCAGCCACTTTGAAAAACAATTAGTCAGTTTCTTTAAAATTAAACATAATCTTACCATACAAATGTAGGCATTTACCCAAGTGAAATGTAAACCTATGTTCACACAAAAACCTGTGTATAAATATTTGTAGTAGTTAAAAAAAATTATTTATTTATTTATTTATTACACAGCAGGTTCTTATTAGTTATCTATTTTATACATGTTAGTGTCAATCCCAGTCTCCAAATCCATCCCCCCCCCCACCCCCCTGCTTTCCCCCTTTGGTGTCTATACGTTTGTTCTCTACATCTGTGTCTCTACTTCTGCCTTGCAAACCAGTTCATCTGTACCATTTTTCTAGATTCCACATATATGCGTTAATATATGATATTTATTTTTCTCTTTCTAACTTATTTGGAATAACCCCAAACTGGAAACCAAATCTGATTGTCCCTGACCTGGGAGGGATATGTATAAACAATTGTGATACATCCATACAATGGGGTCCTGCTTTGAAGTAAAAAGAAACAAAGTACTGATATACTCAACACACATCTCAAATGCCTCATACTAAGTGAAAGAAGCCAACTTAATATGCTTGGCTGGAGAAAAGGGAACCCTCCTACACTGTTGGTGGGAATGTAAGTTGGTGCAGCCATTATGGAAAACAGTATGGAGGGTCCTCAGAAAACTAGAGTTGCTACATGATCCAGCAATCCCACTCCTGGGCATATATCCGGACAAAACTATAATTCAAAAAGATACATGCACCCCTATGTTCATAGTAGCACTATTTACAATAGCCAGGACATGGAAACAACCTAAATGTCCATTGACAGATGAATGGATAAAGAAGGTGTGGTACATATATACAATAGAATATTACTCAGCCATAAAAAAGAATGAAATAATGCCATTTGCAGCAACATGGATGGAACTAGAGATTATCATACTAAGTGAAGTAAGTCAGAAAGACAAATACCATATATCACTTATATGTGGAATCTAAAATATGACACAAATGAACTTATCAACCAAACAGAAACAGACTCACAGACAGAGAACAGACTTGTGGTTGCCAAGGGAGAGGGGGTTGGGGGAGGGATGGATTGGGAGTTCGGGATTAGCAGATGTAAGCTATTATATATAGAATGGATAAACAACAAGGTCTTACTGTATAGCACAGGGAGCTATATTTAATATCCTGTGATAAACCATAATGGAAAAGAATATAAAAAATGTATATATGTATAACTGAATCACTTTGCTATACAGCAGAAATTAACACAACATTGTAAATCAACAATACTTCAATAAAAAATATATACTACACACTGTACCAGTCCATTTTTATAACATTCTGGAAAGGGCAAAACTATAGAGGGAAAAAAAACCCAGATCAGTTTCCTAGGAACTGAGGGTGGAGCAAGGGGAGAACTAAGAAAGGACACGAGGAAACTTTGGCGGGTAATGAAACACTTCTATATCTTGATTATGGTGGTGGTTACAAGTTCCCATGGGTTTCTCAAACTCCTAGAACTTTCTACTGAAAAGGGTGAATTTTACTCTATGTAAATTAGAACTTAATTTTTTAAAATCCAAAATAGAAAGACACAAAAATATCCTGCTATGTTAAATTATTTTGTACATAAAAGCCTAATTAACGTATACACATTTTTAGAGATTTTGATAAATCCTTCCAAATTTCCCTCAGAAACATTGGATCCAGTTTATACCTGTCTGTCAATGGAATGAGAGCATTTGGGTTTTTATATCCTTGTCAGCACAACTATCAGTGATTGCACTTTTCACAAGGCCTCACTCCGGGCTAGGGACACAGCAGGGATTTAATAGAAGCATTTATTCCAAGCACATGAAGTCCCCACAAGAGATAAATGAGATTTTCCCTGAGTCCTGAAGCCATTTACTGTTCTGATGGAGGAAAGAAAGGAAGGAAGATACCATGTGTGTTGGGAGGAGAGACAGCCTCTGAACTCAGGGGTCTGAGGAGCAGTGTTAAACTGGGGGAGAATATGAAAAAGGAAGGGTGAATAAGGAAAGCATACTATGTCTTATGGGGGCTGAGAGGTCTGAAGTGACAACTGTATCTCATTTCTATATGCTGGTGCCCAGCACCAGGCATAGCACATAAGGCTGTAAGAACAAACAAACTGATGAGCGAATGAATGAATGTTGAGACTAAAATTTGGGATCAGCAAAGATAAAACTTCCTTGCTTTGGGAATTAGGGGTTCAAGCTCAGTTTAAGATGTGGCCATGCAAACTTGAGGACGTTTTACTCTGAGTCCTATCTAAGGAGAAGAAAGTCAGCATAGGTGAGTAGGGGGAGGGCATAGAGTCATGAGGGTCCACCTGGGTCCCCACGCGCATAGGAGCCTACGACACAACTCCTGGATGTCAGAAGTCTATCCTTCTGATTCTCAGCCCTGGGGACTGAGTGAAGGGTGGGGTCTTGGGCCAAATGCTGGGTCATTTTAGCTGGAGCTGGGCAGCTGTATAGGAGAGATAGGGTTGGTTGAGAGGAAGTTGAGTGCGCATGCCTGTGTGCTGGCTGGGGGCTGGAGCAGGGGAAGAAGGGGCAGGGGGCGTGGTTTCTGGAGAAGAGGTGGGGGAGGGGAACATTGGGGCTGCTTTAGGAAGGCTGCAGCAGGGAGCCGGAGTCTGGACAGAGCTGATGGGTGATTAGAGGTGTTGGTAGGAGAGGCAGAGAGAGGGATAAAGGTAAGGAGATGTGAGCATTGAAAAGGAGAGGCAGCTGCCGCTTGTGTTAAGTATGAGACAGTGCATGAGTGTGTGTGTGTGTGTGTGTGTGTGTATGAGAGAGTGTGTGAGTGTATGTGTGTGAGTATGAGAGAGTGTGTGTATGTGTGTGTGTGTGCGCGTGTGCAGGCATACGTGAGCGCACAGGGGCTCCTCCCTGAACCCAAACTTTATGCTCCGAGTCTTACAATTCGCATCTTCTTTTCTCCTGTCACTCTAACCATGACAAAAATAAGGTTGCATTTGAGCATGTAAGGGGTTATTTGCAAGTGTGAGCGTGAGTGGCTGTTCTGACCAGCCAGGAGCCTGGGAGAGAGAGAGGCAGAGTGCCAGAACGAACACACATATGCACGAATGAGTGCATGAATAAGCAAATGGGCGTTTACAAGAAGCTCCCCGTGAATGTGGGTTCGTGAAAAACGTTGGGTCTGAGATGCCCCACCCAAGCCCCATAGCCTATATCTCTGGGTCTCTGAGCACAGAGAATTCCAGGGACGTCTGTGCCTGAGGTTCTAGAAACCTCACACTAGCCCCCTAGATGAATAACTGGCTTCAAAGGACGGCATTCCTAATGGACCAGATTCCAGGAGGGAATCCAAAGAGGGTGAGCAGTCTTCTGACCCCGAGAGCCCTCCCTGGGCTGGGAGGCCCCGGCCGGGTGGAGCAGCCACACCTGCCTGAAGTTTTGAGTAAGAGGGGGTGGAAACTGCACCAGCACCGCCCTCTCGCAGGCCCTGCGGGCCCCTGCGGTCTGCCGGTCACAGTGGGTCCCACAACTTCCTCACTTCCCTAAATGGGCAACTTCATATTTAGAACCCCAGGTCTTCCCTGGCAGCCCCAAGTGGTACGTCCAGCATAGGCCTGGGGCCCTAACCTCGGATCCCTGCCCCCTGCTGGACTTGTGCCCGTCCCCACTGCTCGGAGCCATGGCTCCCGCCTTGCTGCTGCTGCTGTGGCTCCAGGGCCCTGTCGCAGGTGAGAGGGTGGGCGGGTGGCTTACAGGGGAGGGAATGGTCTGCTCCTGGACCCCCTTCCTGCTTTTCCTTTGCTCAGTGATCTTGTGGGGTTGGAGGAGGAGGAGACGGTCTGGCTGACCTCGTAGCTCCCCAGCAGAGACCGGTGAGAAGGTGCCCTCCTAGTATCTGGCCCCGGGCAAAGCTAACCCAGGCCTCACAAACTAAGATAAAGCTCTGGACCCTCTCTGCATGGGCCCCTTTATCTGCCTGTCTTCCTCAGGACCTCTGACCAGGGCCACCCCACTTCCTCACACACAACAAGCCCTCATCCCTTGGCCTCTGTCGGGAGAGCCCTGTTTGGTGCCTATGGAATCATTACCTTACGTGTGTGCGCTTTGAATTTGCTTTTTCTTGGAATGTTGATGCCACGACCTCTGTCCTTACCCCCTGTCCTGGGGTGGGGGTAGGGAAGCAATCCCTGAAGCAATCTCTCCCACCCCACATCTACTAAATGCTCCTTGAGGGGGCCTCACCCAATCCTGCCTTGCTTGCTGCCATGACAACCAAGTTACCATTTCCTGTTCAGTTCTGGGCACCTCCTGTGTGAGGGGTGGAAGGTGGGCACATGTAAACACAGTGCCCTGGAGACCCATTCCAAGGTCACCCTATCTGTACGCCTCTCCCAGAGAGACCCGCTTTTCCAGAGCAGAAGAGTGTCCCCTGGGGTCCCCCAAACCTGCCACCTGCCAAATAATTGAGTTGGATCATTCTGTTTAACTTGCATGGGACAAAGTGATACGAGAGAGGGCGTTACCTTACTCCAAGCCTCAACTCTAGTGGCAGCTGGGTTGGAAACTAAGGTGGATGTCTGGGGTGCTGGGCCCTTGGCTGTCACAGCTCTGGGTTCCATTGGGAAAGTCTGGAGCAACCTGCATTTGGGAGAAGGAGACGTGCACTGAGCATGTACTACATTCGAGGCACTGTCCTGGGGCACAGTTCTCAGAGCCAGCCAGAGACAGATAAGAAACAGAGACATTAAGTGATCTGCTCACATGGTTAGTCAGTGGTAGAACCCGAGTTTTAACCTATGTTTATTTAGACTCCAAAATGCTGTCCACTCTGCCCTACTGGGGAGAACTGTGTGCGTGTTTGCAGAAGGCTCGGAGGGTGTTAGAGGAGGAAGTGCCAAGCTGAGGGTGGGTGGAGGGCTGGAGGCCCCTCACTGCAGCTTTCTCTCTCTCCCTGTCCCCTGATTCACCACCCCAGCCCTAGTTTCACCCCCTCCCCTCTGACCACGGGTTATGAAGCTCACTGACCACATCTTCTTCCTAGGCATAGAAGGCAACATATGAACAGTGAATAACTGTAGAATTCTTTGGTTTACACTCCATTGGGAGTGTATATAAATGTCTGGGCATATCGGATCTATGGGTTTTAGGTAACTAGAATATTTTATTTTATTTTTTCTTTTTTTTGTGGTACGCGGGCCTCTCACTGCTGTGGCCTCTCCCGTTGCGGAGCACAGGCTCCGGACACGCAGGCTCAGCGGCCATGGCTCACGGGCCCAGCCGCTCCGCAGCATGTGGGATCTTCCCGGACCGGGGCATGAACCCGTGTCCCCTGCATCGGCAGGTGGATTCTCAACCACTGCGCCACTAGGGAAGCCCATAGAATATTTTAAAATTAAACATCACCTAGAATGAACTCAGACAACTTGCTATTTAAAAGGTGACTAGAGTAAACCTGTTTTTGAAACAAATAACTACTCTTAATATTTTCAAAGATTGAATTTTCTTATCTACCTAAGTTCGTTGTGCTCTGGAATTTCTGAATGATGACTTGCGTTTGTGTCTGTGTCTCTGTCTTATTGAGGGCAGGACCTGACTCTTTCCCACAAGACCCTGAAGACAGGGCTTATTACTCTCCCATCAGACTAGAAAATGCCGCAAAGAAAATGGCTGCGTCTGCTGAAGTTCCCTGAGTGTAAGGGCTGAGTTTCCTTCATTAGACTAGGGGCTCCCTGTGGGCTAGGCCTGTGTCTCCACCATCAGACTGGGCGTCCCCGTAGCGCTAGCCCTGTATCTTCCTCATCATTTTAGGATTCCCCAAGGGCACAGGACTACTGTCTCCCCCATCAGTCTGGGAACTACAGGGCAGGGCTAGTGTCTCCTCCAGCAGACCAAGAGCTCCCTGGGGGAGAAGCCTGTGTCCCCCTCCATTGGAGTTGGGCTGTATTTCTTCTTCACACTCTTGAGTTCCATGACAGCAGAGCAATATCCACCTCCTCTCCCTTCACCATGAGCTTTGAGTTTCAAGATGCTTCCTTCCTCCTCTCAACAAGTCGTGTCTCCCCAGGTGCCCCTGTCGAGAGCGTGTACTCCAAAGTGCGGCACTTTGAAGGGGAGACTCTGTCTGTGCAGTGCTCCTACAAGAGCCGCAAAAACCACACAGAGGGTAAGGTTTGGTGCAAAATCAGGAGGAAGAAGTGCGAGACTGTGTTCACCCGTGTTGGGGTGCAGGGGCCGCGCTATTTGCTGCAGGACGATACCCAGGCCAAGGTGGTCAGTATCACCATGGCGGCCTTGAGGCGCCAGGACTCGGGCCGGTACTGGTGCATGCGCAACAGCTCTGGCGTCCTCTACCCTCTGATGGGCTTCCTGCTGGAAGTGTCTCCAGGTGAGCAGGCCTGCTGGGGCACTGGGATGCTGGGGGGGGGGGTGTCCTCCCCGCCCTGTACTCCACTGGCATCAAATATAACAATAATAATAACCCATCAATAGGCATGATGTACAGTGGGGTTTTCACAGTTCCTTTACAGACAGCTTCATGGGCATGCTTGTCGCCCTTTTACAGATGAAGGAAATGAGATCTAAAAAGTCCTTGTGGCTCTGACTTTGTCCAGGGTCACAGAACTAGCAAGTGGACGAGATGAGATTAGAACTCAGGACTCTCTGTGCTTGTTTTATTCAATCATCTGTTCCACATATATTCACTGAGCCCTGATTCTGTGCCAGGCACTATTCTAGGCTCTGAGGATACAGTGGTGAGCAAAACCGGACCCATTCCTACCCTATGGGAGGTGACAGGCAATAGCACATTGTCAGATAAACAGTTGCAGATAACAATAAATGTTCTTAAGAAAATAAAATGATGTGATGAACTAGAAAGTTCAGTGGTGGGGGGAGCTACTGAATTAGTGGGGAATCAGAGAAGACCTCCCTGAGCAGATGACATCAAGCAGAGCCTGCGTGTGATGAGAGCTTTCTAGCCCTGTTGAAAGTGGGTGATTCAAAGGGCTTTCCAGGCGGGCAGAACTGCATGTGCAAAGTCCCTGAGGTGAGAAGAAGCTGGTCCATATTGAGTGTGGGGCAGAGTGATAGAAGATGAGGCTGGACAGGCAAACAGCAGCCCTACAGTCCCTGATTTGGGGTTTGAGTTTTATTCTAGGTAGAACAGGAAGCTATGGGAGAGTTTAGAGGAGGTGATATGGTGCCTTGTCTTTAAGGTTATCAAAACTCTCCCTTGAGTGTAGAAAAAGAGAGGAGGGCCAAGAATGTAGCCCTGTGCTCCTTCCACATTTATAAGATGGGAAAGGGTGAGGAGCCAGACAAAGAGCAGCCAGTGACTGTGAAACTTATTATCCACCCTTCCCTGTTCCCCTAACCCAACTGCATCCCCTTCTTCTGTTGGGTCTCAGCTAGGGTAACTGCTGTCTCTAAGATATGGAGCAAATCTCATTCCTTCCCTCTCTGGGTTCTGATTTAGCCCTAGGGAAGTAGTCGAAACCAATTTATTGAAGTCTTAATTTGCAGGGATACAAACATGAAATGGCTTTATTTTTCCCTTAGTGTATCCCTCTGTTGTACTATGTCAGATCTCACTTTCCACCGCTTAACCACAGTTTGGGGAGATTCCAACTTTGCAGACCTTTTCAATTATTAGGAAATAAAAAATGCACAGGCAATTAAAAAGGCGAATCTTCTAGCAATATATGCTCTTCCAGTCCCCCTTGAAAACCAGGTTTATGGCCCCAGGCACTTGAAGTGGAGAAGGGGGCCTGCTGCTGTCCAGCTCCCCCTCCTTGATCTCAGGAGGTAGGGAAGGGGTACCCCTCTCCATCACCTCCTCCTGGCCCTGCCCCTCCCAACCCCTTGGTATATTGAGGCAGGGATGAAGGAGAGGGAAACGGTTGTGTGACTTCACTGACCCTTGTAGGAGGTCTCTCTCCGTTGGATGTCACTCCTTTTCTGCCCACCCTTAGATCCTCTGTGGCCAAATGCCAGCTCTCCCAAGGCACCTGTGTATGAGTTCTTTGAAAGGTCCTTTGGGGGTCTCTTCACACTGCTGAGTAGGATGATGTGGGAGATCTGGCTCCAGATCAGCCCCTTCCCCCATCCCCACCCTCACCAATGCCACTTGTTCTGGTTCCCTCGCCCAGAAAAATGGGCGCCTTCCACGGTGACCATCTGGCTCTCAGGAGTGCATCCTTGCACGCATAGTAGTGGGATGCAGCAGCAGCCAGCAGCAGCCCTCTCCCCCTCACCATCCCTCTCCCCCTCACCACCCCTCTCTCTTTATTTTCCTGTTCCCTGATGAGAAAGAGTCAACACTGCCTTCTAGACTGAGCCCTCACAGGTCCTACCACTCCCTCCTCTTCCACCATCCAAAGTCCAAACTTCTTCTAGAAAATGGGATGATAAAGGCCTGAACTGATGCATGAAGGTGGCAGGACCAGTTCCTGTGTCTCTTAATAAGCCCCCAAGGAAGGCACCTGGCCCCGCTGCTCATGGCGCTCTTTGGGGTCTGGGCCTTTGATGCTTCCTTGTCTTCATCTCTGGATCCCAGTCACCAATCATGGAGCAACTGGGAAAGTTCATGTTCAACATCAGAGCAGAGAAATCTCTGACTTACAGGAATGAGGAAGGTCCAGGAAGTGACAAGAGAGATGGGGGTGGGGAGGGAAGTGTCCTCTTGGCCCAGGTGGCCTGACAGGGGACACTAAAAATTTTGTGAAAGGCTCTTCCTTCTTTCCTGTGCCTACTTTCTCCTCCCTGACCTCACCCTCTGAACAAGCACGCACCTGGTCCCTCAGCAGAGCAGAATCCTAGGTCCAAGGTCAAGGAGCAAAAGACAAGGACAGGTCCGACCCAGACAAGTGTGTGGGCTGCCGGGAGCTGCTTCCAGCACCAAGGCCCCCAACTCAGTCTCACCTTCCTCCCTCTCTGGTCCCTCAGCCTCCACAACCAAGAGAAACACTCCTCTTACGAAGCTGCCCACCATCCTCCAGAGTGGAACTGTCGTCACAGCAGGCCCAGCCCTCACCTCAGGCCCTGATGCCCCTTTCACCACCAGCACGACGGTGTTCACACCTGGACTTCTCACCTTGGCTAGACTCTTGCCCTTCCCTGCCTCAGGGAGCATCAGACTGACCTCTGTGACGGGCTACGGCTTCACTGGCACCAGCCCCTCCACCACGGGGCCCAGTAGGACCATGGGGCCCCAGACAGTGACTGCGTCTCCCAGCAATGCCGGAGCCTCCGCTGCTGGCCCAGCCTCCACCCCCACTAAGGCTGGGCACCTGTGCACCATGGGATCGCCCACCACGGGAATGTGCCCCACTGGCAGGTCTCTCCTCAACCTATTATCCCCCAGCAGGTACCTGGGGGGCCTGGGTTGAACGCCATTTTCCCAGACATGGCAACAGTTCTGGGTGCCTGAACAGACCCCAAGGTGAAATGTTGCAGCAGACCAGCCCCTTTCACCCACCGGGAACTCAGTTTGGCCTGTTGCTGAATGGGAGGTGGGAGAGGGAAGCTGGGATGGACATGGGACAGAAATGATGGCAGTGGGAAAGGAGGGCAGGGGCTGGGTCAGCAAAGGAGTCTATGGATGAAGAGGAGAGGGTAGGGACCAGACAAGGGGAGCAGCCTGGGCAGTAGGAAGTGGGAAATGGGGACACTTTAATTTGGGTTCCCTGAGGAGTGGACTCTGAGACCAGGATTCACATTGTATTTGGAACACTGGAAAGAGCATGGGGAAGTGAGACAGGGAAGGGAAGGCAGCAGACAGAGAACTTACTGAGGCTGGTTATCACTGTGGGCAGCAAGAGCTCAATCCCATTGGGGAGACTCTAGGGTCCAGTGTCTAGCAGCCACCTGAAGGGCAAGGGAGCTGGGGTATTTATACACCCACTCTGTTGGTTATTGGAATATAGGCAGGGCGCCCACAGCATCTGTTCCAGAGGACAAAGGTGGCAAGTACCATCCTCAGTCACCACGAGGACAGTACGAACGTTGGTCTCTCCTGTCACAAATGCGGGTCTCTTAGAGCCTTGTCCTCAGCAGATTTGGGGGAATAATGGAGGAGAGGCACTAAAGTGGAGAGACGCTTCCCTTCGCTGGGGGCAGGGGGATTCAACCCCTGACCTCTGAGCACCTCACTTCCTTCTCCCACAGCTGGGTCCTCCAGGAAGAGAGGCCATCACTCACCGCAGGGACTGGCAGGTTTCCCCTGGTCCCACTCCTCTCCCGTGGTGTGCAGAAAGACGTGGGCCAGGGTGGGGCACCCTGGTACTCACCTCCTCCGCACTCTGTCCTGTCTCCGCAGGCACCAGGACTTCTATCCTGCTGTGCTCGTGGCGGTGCTGGCCTTGCTCCCAGTGCCTGTGATGCTGATCGTGGTCTATGGGTTCTGGAAGAAGAGACACATGGGAAGTGAGTAGAGCCCACCCTCCTGGCCCCCCGAGGACAGAACGCTGGGGGTTTGACACCCTTTCCAAAGTGCCCGACTCCCTCGGTCCCCAGACGGTGTGTCCTCACCTGTGTCCAGTCAGGAGGACCATACAGCACCCAGGTGAGGGAGGTGGGTGGGCAGGCGGCGACAGCTCAGCGTAGCCTTCTGGGGCTGAGCCAACAGCAAGCGGAGGGCAGAGGCAGAGGGGCTGGGCTGGCCCAGGAGCTGTGGGTGGTGGGCAGGAGGACCGCCCTCTTCATCTCTGTCCCCATCCTCGCAGGCTACAGCATGTGCCGTGATCCTGCCAGATCCTGGAGGTACCCATCCACAAGACCAGAGCCTCCGTGGAAGCCTGCTTGGTCTGAAGCCACTTAACTGTATGATGGGGGGGAGCTTCTCCCAGAGGGGTCCCGGGAGACCAGAGGAGGAGTGAAGATGGGGACCTGTCTGGATTGGCGACAGGCTGGGGATGAGGACTGTGCAATGCTGGACTCAGGCCTTCCCAGAATCGGAGGCTGCACTGCATCCTCTCAGTTCCCCTGGGCTGCCCGGAACCTGGCGGGGGACAGGGGGCAGAGCAGGGGGCACCAGGTGGGAAGTCCCTGGGGGTAGGGGGGGAGCCACTGAGGTGATTCTGCTGAGAGCCACAGACTCCTGGGCCCTGGCTGGATGGCAGAGAAGCCCCAGGTGTGCTGTTTGCAGACAGAGACCTCAGCTCCCATCGGCCTTGGAACCTCTTACTATCAAGCTGATGGAGGGAGGGGTGGACAGCTAGGGCTGCCCTCTCCCCACCCGGGGCTCTGTCCTCAGTTTCCCTCTGCTCTTTTCAAGTGTCCCCATGCCCTTGGGGGAAGAAAGAGTCCAGAAACAGCCCGTGTCCCAAGGGTCCCACCCTGGAAGAGAAGAAGGAACAGTGACTAAGAGTTGGGGGTCACCAAAGGTGTTGGGGATCCCAGAGCTGTCCAAGCCCCCCACCCCCTGGGCCAAGTGTCCTCTACGGGGCCTCTGGATGGGCCCTGATCTGACTGTGGCTGCTTGTCCGTCGAGTCCTGGGAGCCAGCAGAGCCCCCACTCCCGCTGCTGCTGCCTGCTGGCTGGCCCCTCCAGGGAAAGCTGTGACCGCGCAGCTGAGAACCCCTCACCCGCAGGACCAGCCTGTCCCTCGACTTGCATGCAGAGGCTGATCAGGGCTCTCTCCCCCAGTTCCCACACCCAGGCTCCGGGTCTGGGCTCCTGAAGAGAACAGGGGGCCCTTGAGAGTCCACTGGAGGGGAGGCCATGGCTCAGAGAAGGGGGGGTCACCTTCCCTCTGGGGACTCATTGTCTCCTGAGAAGAGAGGACCCACTGGTGACACAGCAAAGATAACTCAGAGCTGACCAGAGCCTGGAGGACTGCCTGGGCTGGGAGGGGCAGGGAGGATGGAGCTAAGGAGCCTGGGCCAGGGGCCCAATGGCCGGGGGCGTCTGCCCCTGCCTCACTGGCTCGTGCCTCAGAGTTGGCTTCTTCTGCGGCGAAGGCTGAAGAATATGGACTGCATTCCTCCCCTAGGGAGGGGTATCCCCCAGCCTGGAGCCACTGGAATGAGAGACTGCGGGGAGATGTGGCCTGTCCACCCTCGGTCTTGGGACACAGCCCTCCCAGGTGGGAGATCAAATGTCATAGTCAGGGGAGTGACACAGCTGGGGCCTTGGTGGGCAGCCAGCCTGCAGGTGCCACTCCAGGATGGAAGTGGGGAGGGAGGAAGGGGCAGGGGGCAATCCTGGGGGACAGCAGGGAGGCAGCCCCTCTTTCCTATGTCCAGGAGAAGGCACTAGAGGGGAGACTCAGACTGAGGAACTGACAGACCTGGTGCCAGGACACACACACACACACACACACACAGACACACACACACGGTGATAGCCGTCCTCCTGATCCTGGTGTGTAACTAGGACGGTGTTGATTCTCCACCCTAAAACCACACGCTGACAGCCCTGCGCCGGCTGAGAGCGGGATGTTGGTGGGTGCAGAGGCTCAGGACCGGGACCCAGGGATGCCACCAGTCACTGTGGGACCCTGTGCAAGTCACTAACCGTATTGGGCCTCATTTTTCCTCTCTTGTGAAAGGGGACACTAATTCCTACCTCTCAAGACTGTTTTCAGGATAAAATGGATTAACACGAACCTCATACACTGAGTAAAAGCCTCATGCTGCTTGGTCCTCCAGTTCTTTTCCAGGTCTGATGCTTGTCACATTCTACTTTTAAAACCATCGGATCCTATTTCTCTGTTTTGTACTTGACGGGAAGGGGCTAGGGAGGGTGTAGGGGGACATGGTCTGGGCCCAGGCAGAGGCCTCTGTTACCTGATGTCATGCTGGGTAGCTGTTAGGTGGACCGACTATCCTTATCTGCCCAGGATGAGGGGCTCCTGGAACCGGGCACACCTCCCACCCGTGAAGCCTGCTCCCAGGTGAATCCATGGTAAGGAAGGACACAGGGTGCTGAGAAGGAGGTGCAGACTCCGTACCCAGCTTCCTAGCTCTTATGGGCCAGGGTGGCCTCTTTGGACCTCCAGGCTCCAGGACATTTTACTCAAACCCTGGCCCCTCACATGCTCCTTCTGTTTGCCCTTCTCCCCGGAGCTCCAGGGGTATCCAGACCCCCAGCAGATCCAGGGCGGGCAGGTGCAGGGCAGGGGTGGGTGTCAGGCCAGAGCTGCTATTGCCTTTGGTGGACGAGACGAGGAGTCTTCCTGAGCAATGGACTGAGACTACGGGACATACCTGCGAAGGGCTTCCTGTTGTGGCCAAGGGAAGGAACAAATACAGGAAGCCCAGCACCCATGGGATGTTCACGCTGTGAGCCCTGATCTGATCCCACAGGACACACGTGTTCTTGCTGTGAGGCCAGCAGGCAAGCCTGAGGTTCACAGTCCCAATGGCTGCAAATGTGCTTTTCACTCTGCATCACCCTGCGTGGGTGGACGCCGCTCTGTGCAGCCCAGCTCCTCCTTCGGGCTGATGGGCTTCTTGCCCCTGTGCTGGGAGTAGTGAAGGCGGAAGGCAGGCTCACGCCTGGGGCAGACCCTTCCCAGGGCAGCCCCCCGACCCCCACTGATTGACGCAGGGGGTCTGAAGCCCCAGCACCCCCTGCCACCTTGGCAAGTTCTGAAGAGTATCCCATCTCCAGAATGGCTCCCAAAGTGACCTGAGCTTCCTGTGGCCCAAGGGCAGCCTGACTTCTCCTGCCTGTCCTGCTTCCCCTGCCCTTCTCTTCCCCAGCCTGGTCCCCGAGCACTTTTAACTTCCTGGTACTAATCGCTGCCTCGGAGTCTGCTACCCACAAGCCCAATCTGCCCCTCTGCTTGTTTACAGGGTTGATTCTTTTCTTTGTTGTTTCTCTATTAACCATAAACGGCCTGTGACAATTGTTTTTCTGTAGCTCATATAAAGACAATTTAAAAAAATGTGTTTGACTAGTGTGGCCTTTCAGCAAACACTATGGAGTGACTACGGCAGGCTGGGAGCTGGGGCACAGGGATGACCTGAGGGGCAGAGATCCTTTCTCCTCCTCTCCCTCCCCCTCCTTCTGCACCCATCTCCCCCTTCCCCTCCCCTCTGATGCTCCTGCCCCCAGCTTTGTTCTCTCCCACCCTTGCCAGGGACCCTCCCTGCACCTCCATTCCTGGAAATGACTCTCCATCTCCCTTCCCCTCTTCCCTCAGTCCCCACGGAACTTCCCAATTCCTAGGCAGGCCTGGGTGGGAAGTCTCTGACCCCTGGAGACCTTGCAAGTGTCCCCTAACTCTGTCATTCACCTTCAGCCCCTGCTTTTCTTCGGTGGGGAGGAGAAAGTTGAGGCTTGGGAGGAAGTGGTAGGAGAGAAGGGAGAAGGAAGGAGGAAAGATAGGTTTTTAATTTGTTACCAAGTCCAAGCTCGTACTTCTTGCCACACGACAGGCCAATCCATGGAGAGACAAGCTGTTGGGACAAGGAATAGCGATTTCATTTGGAAAGCCAGCAGACAGAGAAGATGGTGGACTAGTGACTCGAAGAACCATCCTAGCCCAGTTAGAATTCAGGCCTGCTTTATACTAAAAGGGGAGGGGGTGTGGCTGGTGGCTGCAAACTTCTTGGTGCCAGCCAGACCCTGGAGAGGATGTGATAATCCTTTGTTCTTGTAGTTGTCTACGCAGGTCAGGTCACCATGTTCCTGTAAATCTCCAACAAGACAAATGTGGTTCTCTGTTGTGCAACTTTGATCTCTATATGAATGGAAAAGTGTTATACCTTTAAAGGTCAGAGCCTTGAGAATGGGCTATTATGTATATTTCAGGCTATAAACAACATTCTTAACTCCAAGCAAAAGCAATAGAATACAAAGGTGAAAATAAAAGAAACAGATCCGATATGGAGTCAGATTTGTTCTTCAGTATTACAATTTCACCATGGTTTCCTCCTGGGCTTTTATGGCTTTCTCCACCCCAGAGGGAGTGAGACAGGCTGACGGGGAAGAGGCTGGGCACAAGAGAGCCAGAGTCCCCTGGAGTCTCTATCTAGTCTCAGATGTAGCACCTGCAGCTGAGGGTCCCACCTACAGGCCAAGGTCTCCCCCTCTTCTCCAGGCAGGCTTCAGTGGATGGGCTGAATCCCCTGGCTCTGGGTTTTTCTCCTCAGGGGCTTCCCTGCTCTCTTGCTTTCCTTCCCCCAACCCAACTCAAGAAGAGGGCCCATGGCCTGGGAGGCCACATACCTGCTGCCACCTGTCCTGCTGGTGCTCTTGGCCTCAGATGAGGGGCAGGCAAGGAGGGCACAGGGATCAGGGCAAGAGGAGGGGGAGATGGCTAAGTGAGATAGGTATGAAGGGGGCTCTGGGGAGGAGAGGGCAGGGACAGGGTGGCATTGTGGCCAGAGGCCGGCTCTGGGGCTCATTCTGAGTGTAGACACGAAGAGGGTGGCTCCCTGCAGGGGGGAAGCCCTCATCTCACAGCCCTGCAGTGGCAGTTGGCGGGGCTCCCTGACCTGAGGGAACAGAGGCCAGAGTTGCTGTGTAAACTAGAGGACAGGACAACTCCGTGCAATGCTGGTATCCACCCCAGCAAGGCTTAAAGATGAAAACCCACAGAGGGAAATATCAGCACATAGTTGTACTGTATTAACCACGTTCCAGGCTCTGGACAAGCCCCAGTAGCTTTGATTCTCTAGCCAGGATGACCTCAGCTTGGGCTTCTTCATCATGGCTGAACTCAGGGGGTTCTATTGGTGTGGAATCTACGAGTCTTCCAGGAACTCTGGTCTCAGAACCATCTGTCTGGTATATCCCAGGGTGAGTTCCTTTTCTCCTTTTGTGTGCCTCTCAGACTTCCTGAATCACAAGATGTTAGGGCTGGAAAGGACCCTAAAAATCACTTCCTTCAAC